ATGTCGGTCTCAACAAAAGACACGACCAAATGGTTGGAATATTTTAGCCGACATAAGACAATGAGTGTGTGTGTGTGTGTGTATGTGTGTGTGTGTGTGTGTGTGTGTGTGCCCGTTCTTCTCTTCTATATAAGCGAGCCACATCACAGATACACAAACTTCAGTGTTGGAAAGAACTTTAAGAATGCAATATGTAGGCCTAATAGAGCTAAAACTACAATTTGTGAAAGACTTTTAGACTTCACTTTGGTAAATCATCCAATCACAAATATGTCGGCAGCAGGTTTAAACATTATGCGGTGATTTCAAAGTATGTCCAATTTGTTTGTGAATGCAGGAAATACATTTCTATTTTTATCCCACCCAGTTTTTCAACGTTTCTAACTGCTGTGATTACGAAGGCTTTTGGGTATTGTAGTCCTAACGCGAGCATCTAATATGACTGCACCATATGTGCCTCTAAGTATCCTGTATCTCATTTTGAAGGAGTTAAGTCAAAAGACTACAATAGTTGTTATTTACAGGTCTACACTGTAACATATGTTCACTGTATCCGCAGGGAGAAAATTGAACAGCACAATCACAGACTGATAATGACGAAGTAGCCATCGTGCTTCTTCTAAGCATTTGCTCCATCTTCACATCCTAAGTGATTGGTGAAAATGGCTGCTAGCACAAAACAATTTGTCCCATATCTAAAAATAACTATCCTTCTCAAACTGTAATCCCACCCTGCCTGATCTTGATTCAGAGCGACAGTGCAACAGAGGATAAAGTTTGGATCCGATCAATCATATGTAGATGTGACATTTAACACCAACGGTAGATTCCCAGCTGCGGAGGATTAAAGCCATGTTTCAACATTTGACGGGCAAACTCCACAGAGCGTCCCGTGGGAAGACTTGGCTCGCAGGATCGTGATGCAACATACTTGATGAAAGAGGCCCAACGGTTTTGTGCATTAATATAATTAATCGGTTAAAAATAAAACAACAGAGCAGAGGTATCGATTTTATTTAAGCTATTTATTTCTCATTGTCCGAAGACATAACACCTGCAAACCAAATGTCTGAGGTCTTAAACTTAACCCTTTATTTTTTTCACATAAAGAGTATTTAAGCAATTATTTTATTTATATAAAACTCCTCACTGATTTCACATAGTTTAAACTCCAAACGATGCCTGTTGTTTGTGATTACAAGACAACAGGAGGGAATTAGACAAAGGGCTTAGGACATTTAACAGGTGTGATACACAAACATGTTTACATTTGTGTGTATTATGGATAAACTGAGGGGAGGAGTAAAAGAAAACAAATGTGTTTAACGCCTTCAGCAATAACACAGAAACAGGCACGATACTCAACTAGATCGTTCCTTACTAGTAACAGCACTTACTCTTGCAAGATCAATCTTAATGATTTTTATGATATTTTGGATATGTCAAATTCCACTGGCCATGAACAAAAAAGTAAATTAGGTCAATTCTACTACGGAGTGTGGTATTTTAAAACTTAAAAGAGGTTCAATTCAATATTCAACACTGCATTTCAATAGAACTAATTTAATTTGTAGATGGAAATTTCTGACTTAATACAAGTTGATAGTTTGCTAATAAATCACCCTAACCACATGGCTTGATCCCTGCACCTCATTAGTGTCATAAGTTACAACTGAAACAGACACAAGAAACATGTACAACTTCTGAATACTCAGACTGCATGGAAGGCCTCCTAATAGGCTTTGGATTCAACTCCAGTTTCTGCCCACAACGGCCGGTTTTTACTCCTGCGAAGAAATAGTTTTATGTCCTCTTTCTTCATGATAAGAATATTTTCAAGACACCCCCAGAATTAGAATTAGAATTAAACCAGACCCTCGATCTTCCAGGCATATGCAACTGCTCCCTCTTTACTTTGTCCAGCACATAACCTTTTCTGACCTTTCGGAATATACGTCACTTTTTGCCAAAAGTCTGCATGTTTAACAGGCCCTGCGGACTAGCATCTGTGCACTGCTTTGTGGACGGCACTAATAGGAATTGTGAGAGGCAGCCCCTTGTGTCCCAAAAACGAGGCTTTAATCTCTATTGTGCTGAGGAAGACTTGGTGATCACTGTCACACCATGTGTGTCAGTTACTAAAAAAGGCCATTTCTAAGGAACAAAGAGAAACGTACTTTATATTCAGCCCATAGCCTCTGTGCTGGCAAGAAACTTCAGTGCCCTGAAGCGAACAAATGTTCCATCGTCTGCCTTTCACAAACCTTTAGATCTCAGTGAATGTCAACAATATTATTCTCCCAAACCAGTCTGAAGGCCTGGCCACCATGCTTGAATCAAATCTCAAGATGCCAAGGTGTCTGTGATGTAGCCCACCGCTAAAGAGCCAAGGCACAGAAGAAAAACAATGGGGCCAATCGATGGTCTGACTTGGCAAATATCAGGCCCGACTGTGGGCCGGCGACTCAAAGTGTCTGACAGACAGAAATCATTCTCCAATGACAAGCCAGGCATGCTAAATGCTGATGAGCTGGTTTGAAAAGGTCTCACCACTTGGGATATTCAAAGTGTCAACAGCATCAACACAGCATGCTTTATTCACCAAAAATAAATCCATTTGGAGCCGTTTGTGCTGCTCCTGTTGAATGTGAGCCATGTTTTATACCGTTGTTGAATTTGATACAGGAATAAACTACTTATAATGAAGGTAAATGTTGTAGTATGTAGAATGTTTACAGGGCATTTGCTTCACAGATGTATTTCAAATATGGTTACGTTATCGCTACAGTCCTTCATCGTTGACAAACACTTAAACTCCTTTTCATGCTTACATTTCAACCAGCTGCAGTGTTTCAACTTCAACTTACGTTTCAACTCCCTTCAGCAAGTGTCAGTGTGCGCTGGTTGTAAAAGACATAAAGACATGACAGGTAATAAATGCAGCTCCTTCAAATGCTCTAACAATTTCAGAATGGGCAATTGGTTTAGTCAGTTTGATGACAGAGAAATGCTTGGATTTGCATAACAACATACGTATATTTGGTTGTCACTCTTTGAATGTTGTCGTGAGGTGCATTCTGGGTGAATACTGTGACTCAAGAGAATCAAGTCTCCAGGAGCTTACACGGTATCGAATATTACAAGACGTCAGACCTACTTCATTTCACCATAACAACATCTTTCTTGAACTCATCCTCAAGATCGCACGGCTGTATTCAAATAACCACATGGCTTTCTTAAATAACAAAATACAACAACTTTGCAAAATGTGCTATGGAGTCAGAAAAGAAAGAGATAAATGATTGTAAATGTCCAACCTGAGATTTACACCAAAAGATGTCATGTTAAAGTGAAACTCATTTCCTGAGCCTCTAAACATAACCTCTGGATTTGGAATCAAATCTCTCTCTGGATTTCTTGACTGTGGATGAAATGTGCCGGCTAATAAATTCACATTATATCCAGGTATCCAGACAGAAAGATATATATATATATATATGTATCTATATATTCTGTCCTATTTTCCTGCCTTCTTCCGGAACAGGTCAGAGTGAGAGTTGCATATCAATAATAGCCGGAGGGGCGATTAACACATTTACTGTACACGCTCAGTTTATAGTTAAGTTGCAACCTCTAGCTAAAACTAAATAAGTCTAACAAAACAGCCTGCAGCTAATTCTTCCTTCATGAAGGTTATAAAGTTCAGTTATGTTGAAACTGTTTATGTGAGGAGTTGATGGAGTTGAGTTTGAAGGCCGTTCGTGTTGCTGTTGCATATTTTTTCCACCCCAACTACACCGACCGGGTTTCTAAATATCAGAATCTACAGCATCCAAAAATCGACCATGACGTTGAATCAACCCCTCTCTAAAACATTTTAAAAAAAATGTTTTTGTTGAAAGTACGGTATATATTTCGAGGCTGTTGTATTAGACTGCATTAAAGACCATCAAACTGTAGTAGCTGTTATTCTTTCATCAGATTCAATAAGTATCTGTTTATGTTACAGATTTAATGGGAGGGCTCGTTAATTATAAAATGCAATAGTGCTTCCAATGATATGGAGGTGTTGATACAACACAATGAATGATATGTAGCGATATAATATTGCTGATGAAGGAGACTGGCGTCCACTTTAATTGGCTATGTAAGCTGACCTCTCTGACAGGCTAAGTGTCACTGGAGCAGAGCCAGATTTAAACAGCGTCCGAGCAGATGGTAGAGGCAGCCAGTCAGGACGCACGGACACATTCCTCCAGCAGCAGCAGAGTGATTGAGACAACCTGTGGTGTTGCCACCTGCTTCAGCACACTGCATAATTAAACCACATCCGCAAAACCCTCGGCTCAACACAATGACTCACTTTCCCAGCATCCCTCAAGCGGCACTCGGTGAGATCATTCATCAGAAAGTGCTAAAAAGGAGCTCAAATTGTTCTCCTCCTTTGTCTTAAAGTTCCCTCCACGCCTCAGCCTCCTCTCCAGCAAACACCTCTTCCTGCCGCACTACCTAACAAACACCTCCCAGCCCTTCAGGCGATGTGGAAAAAAAGGATTCGACATGCTCAGCTGCCTGAAAGCACACAGTATGATTCAGATGTACATGTGACGATCACTTTGTTATATATTGATTTTTATTTTGCTACCGCCTGACGTAATCCCACCTTAGAGTTAGCAATGACTCATCCTATTATAAACACACACATTTCACATCTCACGTTTCCTTTCCTGCTGTCCGACCGCTAAAATAAGCATACAGGCAGTGGCTCATAATGGTTATTTATGCACCTGGCTCCTTTTCAAAAACATATTAAAATATTCCTTACTTAGTCATCTAAAAGTTTACTTTATTTCAAATTTTTTATGGGTAGCAATGGTCTTATTACATCATATTTTCCAGAATGGAGCATTTGCCTTTTCTTTGAATGAACACATCTGGTTATGGAAAAACAAAATTCAAGAGACTGTGATTGGTAGAAAAGAGTCCAAAAGGCATAATACCTTGATGTAATGCTCTAGCCGTGGGTAAACTCTTCTTATTCCCAGGAGGAAAGAGCAAACCGTCCTGTGGGGGAACGAGGTAGTGACCACGTGCGTGACTTCGGGAAAGGAAAAGACTTTAAAGCCAGACGTCTCATAGCTCTTTAAAAGTTCCTCATCTGCCTCGTTTTCTCCCTCGCTCAGAATACTGCCAACAGCATAGCGACACTCTGGTCCCGGCACCTACAAACAAGGATCGAATGAAAACATAAATAAAGGTTGATAAGAGAGAAGATATAAACAAAATAGACTGAAATATTTAGAATCGATCAGAAACGGTAAGACTGCTGTAGTCTTATCAGCAGTTGACCTTTCCCTATTTTCATCTTTATTGTGATTCTTACTGCAATAATTACACAGAGCCTCCAATATGACAACAACAACAAGAGCAGCTGTGACAGATTCATGTTTTCAAGCAAAAATTCTATTTCATAACAACTCTTAATGTTTGCCAATGTTTTTGTGCCTGAACCGATTGCACGACTCACAACATCATCTCTCCTCTTGCCAGTCAATCTCCCTGAGAAAAAAGGGGGGGAGAGACCTCTAAGATGTAATTTCACCTGCAGTAACGTCAACATTTCCAAAGTCTCTGAAGACTGGTGAGTCATATTGTAAGATCATTTTGTGAGCAGTGCACAGCATACGTAAAAAATACAATGGGATGTAGATATCTTCTCTGATGTCAGCCAGGTGCCAAATGTAAAGAGATATTATTCTCATTAATCTGAGCTGTAATTGGACCATTTGGCAGCGCAGCAATTATTGCTCCTTCCTTTTATTCTGAGCACCCTGGCGCCCATTAAAAAAAAGAAAAGGGAGACACTCTTTACAAATGAATACTCCTGGGACATCCAAGACTTTCTCCCCACTGCTGAGCTGAGCTCCGCTGAAGGCTCATGTAATAAATGCGCTGGAATGCTCCAATTTGTCCATAAACTTATCAATGCTACGCTTCTAGCACAGCCCGTGTGTCTGAGAATGTCTATTTTGTCCTCTATTCCTCCGCACGCAAGGCCAGTCATGGGTAGAAGTGTGGTGTTCACCATGCACAGGCTAATTATTCACACTACAGCACATTCAAAGTTTAAAAACACACAGAAATACTGCAAGATGTGAGAAATATGCATTTGATCCAAGATGTGTTCTGTATCAGCAGATGAACAACAGACTACCTTATTTTGAGTATCGTCAATAATATAGTGAAGTAGACAACTTAAATATCGGCTACTAGACTGATTTTGTGGATTTGAATAACTCTGTGATGAATTCTGATAAACACAATCAGGTCTTAATCTGATTCTACAGTGCAATCAATAGCTTTACTCAGGGTCGACAAATGATCAATTAGCCAGGTTATTCGACTATTGAGTAGAATTGAGAGAACTGGTGAGATTACATTTCACTGGAATTGTATGATGATTGGTTTTAGGTTATTATCAAATATACCCAAACAGTCCGGCAGCTCCTCCGGACTGTTGAGGATTTGATGTTTTTCTCTTGTTTTATATTATTGTAAACTGAATACATCTGTGTTATGGATTGTTGGACAAAACAAGACATTTGATGATGTTAACAAGGACTCTTAAAAAATATGATGGGCATTTTCCACTACTTTCTAACATTTTACAGACCAAACTATTCATGGATTAATTGGGAAAATGTTCTGCAAAAGAATCAATAATGAAAATAATCGTTGGTTGCAGCCCTGTTTCAGGTTTCTTTTTGTCTATCTACTTCTAAGTTTCCATCTTTATTACCCGGTAGATAATCTTTAGTTCCAGTCAAACTGTGGGGAAATAAACACTACATTCAGTCCAACTTGAGGCCACTTTTCTGAGCTTATGTTACGTGCATTGTTTTCTCTTGCCAGTGGTGTAAGTTATAGATTTTTACTTTCATGAATTGGTATTGTTGTCACGCATGAAGCAGCAAACACACATACAACTCCAGGATGCACATGATATTTTAAAGATGACACCATGCCTTGTTTATAAGCCTCGTACAATATAATGCTTTTGATGTTAAGTGGAGATAATTTTCAATAAAGACTCACAGGAAAATATATGATCTCCATCAAATGTTCACAATCCCTAAATAAACATCTCAATAGTTACTCAAGTCAAAAGGAGAGTCAGGTTCTCAGTGGAGCAGGCCAAACTAAAATACAACGCGTCAAACACCTAAAGGTAATATAGGGTAAGGTCAGGTAAG